ACTGTGTCAAGACTGTTATAAAACATATGGCTGTGGGTATACATATACATGCTTTTAGATGTATCTGCTAGCAAAAGAAGGGCTCCTATTGCTATGCTATCATCTAAAGTGTAAAAATAGAAGATTTTCATTACTTTAATATCATAGTGCTGTATTTTGAGTTCTGACCCTCAAGGCACCCTATATCTCTGTTCTTTTTCTCTCTTTTCGCTGACGAGCAAATTAACCCTGCATGTCTAGAAAATCGCTTGCATAATGCAATCCTGATGCTGGATTTTCTCTTCTTCACAATACCAGTTTTATACTCTATTCCATACTTCAATGTGTGCTTCTAAAATGGCTTGGCTACTCTGCCAGCTCCATTCCAGGGTTTGCAGGGTTTATATTAGTTTATTTCTGTAAATGGACTATAGAGAGAGCCTAAGGTACACAGAGCCTAAGTTAATACCAATAAAACAGAGTAAAGTGGTCAGCTTTTCAGCTTTCATAAATTTTTAACTTTGTACAATCATAGCCGTTCGGTGATGTCTCAGAAGTATCAAAGACCTTCACAAAGTGTGAATAATTATCATACTGCTTTAGAGAAAGAACAAGTTTGTTTACAACGCCTGGACCACTCACCAAAAGAGACAAAGCACCGTGAAAGGTTTTCTGACACACAGGTCTGAAATTCTCATTTGTTGCATTCAGGGAGGGAATAATCAATTACATGCCACTGTATAATTATAGATCTTTTTGGTTCACAATGTCTGTGTCCTTTTCTTAAAGTATCTTCACATTTGATTTCAGAAATCAGTAGAAAAACAGGTCCAGTTGGATTTCTGGGTCGCCCCAGACTGCAGAGAAGAGCATCTCCATTCTCGTCTTTCCAAGCTTCTTGTGAAAATGGATTAGTTCTGGTACAAATGATTATGTAGATTTTGTAGCTTAAGAGGAGATATGCTTTCTTTGATGAAAAAGTTCAAAAGTAGGTCAAAAATAAGGGCCAGCAGTCTCATGCTGTTAGACACTGGATGTAGCTGCTGACACTCTGACTCCCCTCAAATTCAGCACAAGTGGACAGAAGCAGAACAGAAGCAATATCGGTGAGGTCGGGCACCGCTTACTGCAGAACCAGGTTGTGTTCTTCTTGATATGTCATCAAGATCTTGAATATGTGCTTTAAAATCTTTAGTCCCACACTGGTTAACGGTGATTTTTTTTTCCACAACTGGGCTTCGTCAAGTCTAACAGGAAAGCAATAACCCCATATTTCATTTAAATGCCTTTTCCCATATATAATAGGGCATGGGATTCAAAAGAATTCATTCAGCATGCTCTCCTAATACCATTTAACTTCCCGTGAAAAAACAGTAACAGGAAGAGTTATTTTAATTAGCACATAAGCTGTGCAACAGCTAATGTATTCCACCTCTTCATTGTTGTAAAAGGAGCAGATTTCTTGGTAGCATGAAGCAGCAGAGAAGAGGGTTTGTGTTCTGCTCTCCATATGCGCACACAGCCCCATTCATGGGGAAGGTGTGAACGGGAGGTGATTTGTAGCCGCCTGCCATTTGTACAACACAAGCTTCTGTTGTTCTCCAGGCTGAAGAGAAACCGGGTTTCCTTCTTCAAACCTACTGCAGTGCGACAGGTAGGCAGCAGCTTTTGGAGAACCTGAGATTTTGTTATTAATTTCAACAAGAAGGGATTGCAAAGAAAACTCATTTTTTAATTTACGTTTTTAAAAAAGTAGACAGAATGTCAGGCTGGAAAGAGAGCCATGACTTGCCCAGACAGCTGATTTTTCTTGATCAGAAGTCCCAAGGAAGCTGCATTTTAGAGAAACCTTTGAAAGCATGCCTCTTTTCCCTCTGTCTGGTCAGCCTTAAACTGGCACCAGACCGGAGCTTCAACTCCTGCTGCCTCCCTGCTCCACACTGGGTCCAGCACCACGCTCTGCTGTGGAGACTGGAAGCATGAACTGAGCCCGTGCTCCAGCGCTCCTTGGGATATGCTCTGGTCTGCTGGGAGGCACAGTTGAACACGGAGGGTGAGGAGCTGCTGGTGTGTTGCATGGCTTGCCAGGGCTCTTGTTTTGGTGTGGGCGATGGTGACGAAGCTATGTGGCCTCTTAAGCAGCTGCTGAGGGTGGATGATTTCATGGCCTCCTCCAGCCCACGAGTGTGTCAGCACAAGCTGTAAAGCGAAGCCTGAGCTCCAGGCAGCATTTCCCTGGCCATGAGCGATGTTACAGAGGCTGTGCTTCACTGAGAAATGGCTTGAGAGAAGATTGTCTCTGTTACAAAAATCAAAGCGGGACATACCAGGCCAGGCAAGGTGAGGAGCATCTCAGGGTCTCCCAGCTATGAAGCTCGACTGTCCGATAGAAACTGCCCTGTAGTTCCCGAAATGAGAAGTGAGAAGCTGGTTTGAAACTTCTTGGTCGTAAGGTTCTTATTAAAATAAAAAGAGTGAGAGAAGAGTGATGCCAACAGGAGAAGGAAGCAAATATTTATTTTCATGAGAAATATAACTGTAGGGCCAAAACAAAATACTTTTAAATGGTCCAAGAAAATAAACGATTAAGAAAAAAAGAATGTCCCAAGCAAATCCAACTTGATGTGATTTTCACCTTGCCTGAACTTGTTCAACGGGGGGGACTTGTGTTCGCTAGTGAAAGGAAACATTGCAGGGATGGCTTGGCCAAAAGCAGTGGCTTTTGCTGAGAAAGGATTGAAGAGAGGACAAAGAAAAAATAACTACTTACATTAGCTAGGGACTGCTTATCTCTCACGTGGCTAAAGCAGAGAAAGCTCATCTCTCAGAGAGAAGAGAAATCTAGTAATACAATAATGAGATAAGGCTTTTCGTTTAATTTTTCCTTTGCAAACTGTTTTATAAATGTTAACTATTAAATATGCATAGCCTCTGAATTGGGAGCTAACGTGTTTTCCCATGGGCAGGGTAAAAGCACCCTGACAATACAAGATCTCCTCTGAATATTTTGCCTGTGCTAGTGATAAATATAAACCAGGATTTGTCACCTCAGACTTTATTTATTGACCTCATCTGTCCAGGAGGTGTTCAGTTTCACTTTTTTCAGCTGTTGGACACCATTCCATTGCACATGAACCAGCACAAGATGACTCGCAGGAGCCATCTCTCTGATTTCAAGAGCACCAGTGGAGTGGGGCAGTGAGCTGCAGAGTGGGGTTTGTGTTCAGGGCTTTCATTGACAACACACGGGCTCCTCTGCCAAATGGAAAACTAAGCTTTGGTCAATCAGAGTATCAGAGCACACAGATCTTACACATACATTAACAACAAAAATATTTCTGTAAGTTATTTTGCATTAATTAAAAAAAAAAAATAACTTCAAGAGCTCTGTCCACAAATAGATGAGTGTCTGCCTTAGAATTACAACATGGGAGTCACCGAGGCCTGGTTCGTGTTCGCTTCGTTGCTTTGTGGGATATGATGGCATAAATCCTCAGCAGCTTGGTCTGATGTAGCCCTGCAGAAGTACAGTTATTTTTTCTGCTCTGCTGCACCAGCTGGGAATCTGACTTGGAGCATTTCAACAAAAAATGCTCAGACAAAATGAAAGCTCTGTGTCTAATTACCATCTTGTAGGAATAGTTTCAGACCTCTGTAAGTGTGTGTGTATGTGTATATATTATATATATGTTCTGCTGTACAGAATGCAAAGATCTGAAAGAGTAATCCAGATTAGCTAACTATTAGGACTTCCCTGTAAGTTTTCAAAATTTGTACTGCCTTTTTTGTTGTTCCTTTAGTGCATAAGAACTCCATCTTCTGTCAGTTGTAGAGGGATGATTGCTTAGAAAAAATCCTCACCAAAAAAACAGGCACCATCACGGCAGGCGCTGGGACCTGCAGAGAGACATCATCCTCTCAGCAGGATCCTCTGCAGACAGAGAGGTTTGCTGGTGCAGGACCGATTGACCAGGGGATGGACACACCAACCACTA